TCCACTCGACGCTATCGGTAGCTGACCGGTCTCCCGCGGCGGGACACGACGATTTATAGCGTAATAATTCGATGGTAATTGATGCAAGAGTAATACGGGAGTCGCGTGCGGTCGGGTCGCGGGGCGTCGAACCGGAATCCGTCGATCGGCGATCCCGTGAATAATTTATGCTTAATTAGCTTCGTTAACACCCCGAACCGGTCATCCCCGCGCCGCGTCTCCTGAAACCGCGTATCTGCATACGATTTCCGATCGGAGTTGGGTGGTTCTTGGTCCGGCGGTGGGTCAGGGTGCTGACCAGTTAATCGCGGAGGAATTGAGTGGACATGACAAGCTACATCATAGCTGATAATCAATCTGTTATTCAGAGGTACTACACCGGGGTCAAACTGGTTCCACTTGTCCGGGTCGCATATCAGCACGCTTCTTCGCCGGGTCGTAATCTAGTTGTTTTCGAGGGGATGACCGTGTCGTTAGTGCTTGGAGTCTAAAATCCCTGGCAATGCTGCTGTACTACGGAAGAACACCGTATGAGCATTCGAGTGTTGCCTGATTTTCTCTCGGAAAATATTTATTTTTGAAGAGAGTTATGCGTATTTCTCCTTGAAATATTCAGAATTATTAGATAAAATTGCAAACGAAGTTCTCGAAGTTCAACGAAGTTGGGAGGAAAATATCCATACATTTTTCCAAAAATTCGAGATTTGTCAAAGAAACTTCGGCAAAGTCTAGAGGTTCATACGGCGCGGCGTTTTTCCATGGCACATTAGAATGCTCATTTCCTGCACTAATTTTCAGGAGCTCAATCCCTGACGAGAAACCAAGGTTTTCTCTCACTTCATAGGATTTTCTCGGGGAAAACTACATAATTTTCCGAGGCTTCAGGTATAAATATCGATTTTTTTTTCATCAATCAGCCGAATCTTTGGCGCACATTTTTTTGCAATTCCAAAAGCGCTCCTGAAAATATTGTCTGGTCAAAGAAAGCCTCTCTATTATTGTCAATGTCATTCAAGAGGTTAATACTGGCGACTCAGGTGCAATAACATAAATAAACCTTCAATAGGTGCTTAAAATTTTCGCAATATTTTAAAACAAAATGGTCTCTGAGCGGCAGGAAAAGAGATTCTCGGTTCGAGGAACAGATTCCCTGACTTTCCCTGGAATTTTTCATTTCCTGATAAACCCTGATTTTTCCGGTTATTCCAGGTCCCAAACACCATGCGATAGTGTAAATTTCCAGCCGTCTCTTCCCTTCCAACTCTGCTTGCGACTGCATTTTGCAATGAAGAACCAGTATTTCCATCTCATCTATAAAAATACCAGTCTGAATAAGGAAGGTAATGTTACATAAGCCATTTCGAAATGAGCCAAAAATAATAGTCCGTCGTTGGAAAATTTAGTCCATTTGAACTGAATTGAGTGAAAAAGATATGAAACTTCTGGCTTATTTTGGAAACGACGTATATTCCATTAGTTTTCCTATGCAGATGGGTGGCTACACATGCAGGGTTATCTTTAAGTCCCACACAACGAGCACCAGATATCACCTCTGTAACTTTTGAACGAATTGAGATAGAGACTTGAAATTTTGTAAGTGCTCCCAGGTTGAAGAAGACGACTTTTTGTAGCCCCTCCTTGCCTAAAATTTTACGGAGATCACCCTAGTAATGGGCAAGAACCGTGAGAGTCTTCTTATTGCGTGATAGAATCTATGAGGAGTACATTTGAAAACGAGGAACTACTATTTCCGGTTTATTTTAGAAACAACATATGAACTACATTTAACAATTAGGGACTACAGTTTCTGGCTCAAGTCAAAGACAACATAGTTTTCCCATTGAGATAAGTAAGTGCTCTTATGCGTGCCTTAAAAATAGTAGTTCCTCAATGCAGAATGTAGTCCATATATGCCATCAGTTTCCCAATGTAAATTGGACTGCATTTTGTGATGAGGAACTTATATTTCTGGATCATTTTACAAACATCATACGCGCCATAAGTTTCTCTATATGCAGGTAGGTGCTTTTAAAAATGAGCTCGAAATGGTAGTTTTTAATTGCAAAATATAATCCAATTGTAGAATTAACTCTGTTCTTCTTAAGGAAGTTCCGTTCCTATAACCGCAAACTTCGGATGTAGATCAAAGATATTGTTGTTTCATATAAACCGAAGTTCGGTTCTTGCGACTAAAGTTTTTATCCCCGACCAGATGGCAATGAGTGAGTAAATAAATCCCTGAATTCGTGCAAAAGTCGAAGCTTATCAATCGAGAAAAATGTAGATTCGAATAATTGGATATCGGGGGAAGGAGAAAATCTTGAGGCAAAGAAAAAGGACGAAAAACCCCGGCGTCTGTGGAAGGGAAACTTTAAGGGGCTAAAAAATCACGAGGAGAGGAGGGTGGGGGAAGGAGAGGTAAGGGACGCGGATGAGAGTAAAATAATGAATAGTGGAGCACGACTCTACAATTGAGAGAAAAAAACGCGTATATGAACTTCAGCTTTGATTCGGAGTTATGCGGTCCTCGTTTGAAAGGACCGAACTCCAAAAGGATCTCAAATTCAAACTGGTAATGGAAATAATGACCTGCAGGATTACCCATGCTACCATGCTAAGGAAAAACGCCGTATGAATATTCGAGAGTTGCCAAATTTCCCTTGGTAAAGCATGTATTTTTGACAACATTCATGCATATATTTCCTTTGCATTTTCAGATATTTTAGATTAAGTAGCGTTCAAAATTGTATGAAAATTTTGGAAAATAATATTCTCGATGGACCACTAGACAAGGTACGAATTTCAGCACTCTGATATATGATCCGTGACCAAAATTTCACGTAGAGCACGATGCGCACAATGGAAATTATCGAAATCAACTCCTCACAACGATATTTAATGATTCTTGATGCGTGAATTCAAACCACCCGCTCATGAAAACACAATGCTCTACGTGATTCACATCGCGCGCTAAACGTTATCATAACAGTCTCTGCGCGATGTAAAAATCTGGCAACCTCAATCTTGACGCTTTGGCTCAGCTATAGCAAATTGCCTATAGTTCGAACAACACATGGTGGGAAATGAATATTGCTCGATTAAGAAACTTGCTGAGACCGTTGTCATGCGCGATTTGACTCACGTAGAATTTTGAGTTTCTTGTGAGCGGGCAGTTCAAATTCCTCGTAACCAATGTGAAATGAAAAGGTTAATATCTTCGTTAGGAGTTGGTTTCAGTAATTTCCGTTGCGCGAATCGTGTTCTACGTGAAATTTTGGTTAAGAAACATGTACCGGAATGCTTAAATTCGTACCTTGTCTAGTGATCCATTTTCCCAGCAAATTTGGTTTTTAGTGGAGGAAACTTGGCAACGTCTGAAGGCTCATACGGCGTTCTTCCATAGCACGGCGGCATGGGCTCCCGATACGGAGCTAGGGGGCACCCGTTCTTGCATTCGACCTGATTGTTCTACTGGGCTGAGTGAAATCGCCGCGCCGTATGCAATTCGGACGTTGCCAAATTTTTTCGAGAAAACACGAATTTACTGACAACTTGTGAATTTTCTTTTTCGGAAATTTCGGGGAACCCATTTGAAATTTAATCTAAAATGTAGGAAAATCTCAATGAGAAATATTCAATATTTCATTATGCATACAATTTTTATGAATGGAAATCAGGCAGTGTCGAGATTTTTTGGGGGTACATATTCCTCTATGACGCCCTTCTTGGCAGATTATTCTTCCCTGTAATTTTCGTGAAGGAACCGTGTGCTAGTTGTTTAAACGTATTGAATTGATGAAGGATCAAAAATCTCTCTACAGCTACTTGCTGCTCTCACTTTTTAGCAGTCTCGAAAGACCAGTTCATTAATATTCCGGTTTTCGGAATTTGGTATCCGGATTGGTGTGCGGTACACCGACAAAAAAGGAGGTTAAAAAAATGTGCAACAACTCTTGGATGTTGTCATGAACACTCTGATGTTAAAATAACATCCTAAGGATGTTACTAAGGATGTTACTTGAACACCAGAGTGTTAATGACAACATCCAAGAGTTGTCGTACATTTTTTAACACCTGTGGTGTTACTACGGCACCTTTTATTCGGTGTAAAAGGGTTTTTCTGGCTAATAGGGGGAAATCTAAAATTTTTCGGCTGAACGGCTGATTTTGTGGGGAAATGTTTGCTAAAGAAGATAAACTGTGCATATTTTTAATCTTGATTTAAAATATGCATAATATACATAATATATGCATAATAATCAAATATACATTTGATTCAATTGGAAATTTGAAGTTACTACACAAAAGACCTGATTTTTCCTCCAAAATCAGGTCTCTTTGAACTTGCGGTTTCCTCCATGTTTTCCTTTTTTAGAGCTCAAATTCTGTTTAAATTCAAGATTTCAGATTTTTTTTCAAAAAAAAAAACAAAAAAACAAATCATTGAGGTTTTTCCCTCTAGCACGTCTTTGAGATAATTTTTCGTAAGTGGCTCGGCTTTTCTTTCTTAAAAATATTAAAGTTTGAAAAGAATTACCTATATCCAATATTTGAAAAATCCTTCTTCAATGAACATTCAGGAACGCTAAATGTCCCATCAGGGTACAGTTTCCGCCCGTTTAGACAAAGTCAAAGTCTGTAACTGATTCTTAACATAACACTTAAAAAAATGGTATGCTGTTTTAGCACCTAGGATGTCAAAAATGTGTCTGGTGATCCTAAGATGCTACCTTGACTGCCCATGCAGTTGAATTTGCATTCACAGGATGTAAAATTAACTGTGGGGGCAGTAAAGGCAGCATCTTGGGATCACCAGGCACATTTTTGGCATCCCAGGTGCTAAAACAACATATTATTTTTTTCAGTGTGAGCAACTACTTACACAGGAAGTCTAAAATTCCACAAAATATTTATCGTCTTCCAATTGAGGATACTTGCCCAATATTATGTTAGGATGTTGGGAGGGAAAATGCCGTAACGTCAAAATAAAACAATATTCGTTACATGAACTCTATGTTTTACGTTTTTAAAGCATAATAAGATATAATATTCAACAAATAGGCCATTCTGTCAGCTAATGCACCTTTTACACGGTAATAGTTTATTCTACTAAGATATTTTTATAGTTTTCGAGTTTTTCGAGGATATTTACCATCAGGCGGTGTCGCGTTTCGAGATCAACTTGCTCTCTCAATTCCGAGAATTGTCTCAGATCTTTTATGATCTCTACAATTGCCAGTAACTGGAACAAGAAAACGAGGGCAAAGTATTAGTCAAGAGAAGTACCAACAATTAAAATACCAAACCATCACTTGACGCTGACACAGACCCTCACTCCCCTCGAATTACATGATGCACATACGCAAGCCACCAGGCTTCGAGTAATGCATGCAGAACTGCCTGAATTTTGACATCCAGAAACTGAAAAGGTTCGTGCTGTTCACGCTCTCCAACGTCCAAACGTTGGATCCAAACCCTTGTTTCATTTTTTACAACTCCATCAGCCATCAAATGACATGTAGTTTAAAAGTATTGCGACTGTCAAAATACCACAAATAAATAATTTTACTTTTAAATCATTTGCTTCCATTTTTTGAGATAAGCTCATCAGAATTGCAAGCAATAATTTAGAAAGCTGATCGATCCACCCACCTTTAACGCAACAGCATTTGTGAAACCTATAAATTTTTTGAATATCTAGTTATGGTGATACTGACTAGACAAATCGAAGATACTAACAAAGTATACAAAGAAGATAAGTTAAAGATTACCATATTGGTAAATGTTATCGTCTCAACGCTGGTGGTCAATGTTGATGTGATAGTGATATTGAAGTTGAACCAAAAAATTCAAGAATTGTTCGCAAATATTGACCTCATAATATGGTCAACATAAATTTGCCTGCATTGAGAGCCTACATCAGGGTAAATGACAGTCTGTGAAGTCGAATACTTACCTTCCTGGTCACTCTCCCACCTCTCGCCATCTCAGAGGCCAACATAGATTCAAATTTTTGATACGAACGTTTTATTTCATAGGGGAGCGCCTTAAACTCACACGACGCGTACTTGTATACGTCTATCATCATTGAGTCCATTGTGAAATCTGCTTCCTTTGTCTCAGCGCCGCGATTGGAACATTCCTGTGGGACAGTTTACAGGTCAAATTAGCATCTATAGTTAAAACCAAAATCAATTGTTAGAAACAAAGTCAAATGTTTTGAACATCCATGATCCGACGCACTCTATCATTACGGACTCGAGCTCTCCTAGAAATTCCTGCCGACCTCCTCCAGAATTCCATCTTCGTTGCTCTTAACATAATATCCGGTGTCCGTTTCTTCATCTGCCAAACTTCGTATCCGTATGTTAATATACTTTTAACCACAGCATTGTATATCCTCCTCTTTTTCTCTTTGGAAAACCGCTGATCACCGAGGATTCCATTTAACATCGCTATAGCCCTCCTTGCTATAACGTGTTTCTTTTCTTGATAGCTTGGTCTGTCCTTCCATCCTGGGTCAACCGCACTCCTATGTATTTATACTCCGCGCAGCCTATGATCTGCTGCCCACCCTACAACTCAATGCTTCGCTGATCATCTCCAAACGTCATCTTCTCAGATTTGGATATACTGACCTCCAAACCCCACTTCCAGTACTCTTCTACTAACTTACGCAGCATGTACTCAGCGTCATCTTGATCTTGAGCAATCACCACCTGGTCATTAGCAGAGCACAGAGTGAACAGAGTTTCAAAATCACCTAAGGGGACACCCATTCCAGAACATTTCCTTTCATTTTAAAGATCCTTTGACAGAAAGGCGCCCAGATGCAGATTTCTCATGATGCATTGTTATAAACAATGTTAATGTATTGTTATAATTAATTATCAAAAGTGTCATCGTGTTCAACGTCATGACCAAACAGCTTGTCTACTATGGTCATGTTAATAGGATGACAGAAGGGAGGCTGCCAAAAAAGATGCTTGATTGGGTCACTCCTGGGAGAAGACGAAGGGGACGTCCAGTAAAAGGGTGGCGACAGGGGGTTTTAAATGAGATGAGGGAGTGCCAACTCCCTGATGCACTATGGGAGGACCGAGTTTTGTGGCGATTAGGCGTCGCAAAGCGCCAGAGAGCGCTATAAAGGCGACTCGAAGGCGATAAACATACTTGGCAAACATCCAAGATATGTTTTGCTTAGTGAATTTTCGTAGAATTATCATTCTTTTTGTTTAGTCTTAAGCCCATTATTTGAAAATTTTCAAAATTTTGAGGAGTAAAGTCTTTATGTTTATCTTCAAAAATAAATTTTGTTTTTGGCAATATTCTTGAATTAATTTAGATGCGGCCTTAAACTTACCATTCAATAATGTCATTATCTTGGTTTCATCAAAATGAAACCTCTGCCCCCTCAAATGTGGGCTCATGATCCTCAAACAAAGCAATAATTAACACTTAGATGATACCTACTTACCAAAATCAATGTGTTCTATTTTTATTCATGACCAAGGAGGTCTTTTTCATAATATTAGCTTCAAAATTTTATTTTAAAAATAACTTACGATTGCGCCATCAACGATGAAGAGTAAGGATGTCAAGACTAGAAGTATCTTAAGGGTCATTTTGAACGATGGTGAGACACTGAACAAATGACACGAACAAGTAAGATTTGAAAGCTTTCGCACTTCAATGCTGCAGGATGAGAGACTCCTTAAAAAGGTATTGGTTTCTAATCGTCAGTAAATCAGAATGTCTGTATTTATACTTTTTTTCATGTAACTAAAAAATGTTTGAGGGAAAAAAACTCGGATGTCACACGATTAGATAAACAGAGAGAAAATTTTAACTTGTATCTGCTCCGAATTTCCGTTGACGTCAAAGGAATTGATAAAAAGTCAGAAAAACTTGTCAAAAACATCTTCAATTTTATCAAAAGTAAGGCTGAGAGAACCCGCATGACTTCAATTTCCACACTTCTTTATAACCAAAAAGCTTCCAAAAAAATAAACAATTACAAATTTATCAGTAGGAAAATGATAAATAAGCAACAAACACCCTTGACTTTTTGATATTACAATTAGAGGGAAACTGGTTATCTCAATGAATACTTTAAATTTTCCGCATGCATTATTTTTTAATATTTTTTCACCGTAGGATTTGCTTCTCAAGGGTATGCAATTTTACATTTTTACATTTCACATTTCATGCAGTAACGATAATTTGTTCTTCTGCAGAAGAGTAAAAAGTATGACAGAAATGCTGTTGAAAACCCTTCTCCTTCTTAAAAGTCTGCATCCTCCTGGACCAAGATACGTGTTTCTTTCATTATCAACATCGATTTATGATACATACCGGACTTCAATCGAACAACAATAATGATCTTTGCCCACGCATCACTTTCGTAATAATAGTCACCCAATTGCTGAGCACATCGACTAACTATAACTTTACGTCAATTAGCGAGGGAAATGGGTGAAAAGCAAATACCAACCAAAAACTTCAAGTTCTCAATAAGAATCTACCCTGGAGGTTTTTTTTTTTTTTTTTTTTTTTTTTTTCATATAATTTCTACAATAATAAAATGCATGCCCTCATCTGCTCTTAGCCAACTCAAAATGGCCTCCATAGGAGCGGACCATGCGCGCGTGCGTTAAATTAATGACCTCTCTTAACCAATTACAACATATCCCGAGACAAAAAGCTAAAAGTCAGTGGCGTGGTGTGCTTTGCGATGCATCGAATGATCTAAACCTATGGAAAAGGATCGATAGAGAGGGCGTTTGCAACGAACACCATAATAATCGATTCTTTACCATGGCTTCAAATGGGAAGATATCGATAATCGATTATTCAAGCCCCGCCACTGCTAAAAATATCAAAATCCGGCAACAAAACACTCCATTCTACACAAGTTTTCGATTTCAACGCGATAAATCAGGCGCCGCCCCGGCCGACGTCCGAGGCAGTCGCAGAACTTTTAATATAATGTAGATAAGCGTAAACACGAAATGGATCGTGAAAATATTTTTCGGCCCTGTTAATACAATATTTATGACCGGCAACTCTCCCCGGAGCGGCTCTTCCCGATTTATTAGAAAAAAGTGACATCCCGCATTCATCATCACGTCGGATTCTCGGAAATTTCCGGTCTGGCTCACGTAGGGGTTGAAAAAAAAAACAGAGACAGATGACAAGGAGGAAGGGGTAAGGTCATGCAAAATAGGACCCTTCACGAGGCAGAGTACAAAATTGGGCTTTTTGCATAAGGGATGCTGAGGATAGACTCCTGAGGCATCCACCGCTTCGTTACCATCCAACAGGGTCGCCGAATCTCGCGGGTCTCCACCGGTTCCAACCCCCGAAAAGGAGAGATCCGGCACCCCTCGGGTCCTCATCCCTTCCTTTTTTTATAAGCGTCAATATCCAATTCCGCAGGAACACAAAAAACATCCAGTTATCAACTAACAAACATCCCCTTTCATTTACAAATCTATTCAAATGATTTTTTTTTTCAACCCTTTCGTCCCCAGGAGGAACTGACACCAGCTTTTTTTCTTTTTGCTCCGCGCGTTATTTTTTTCTCACCCTCAGACTGGGAGACAGGTTTATAAAACCTTCGCGCTACGGTGAACAAAAAAAGTGTACCTACATCCATGAAAAAAAATACTAGGTTTCTGCTCCTGCTAACCGCATCCCGTGTGTAATGGGCGTCCCCCTTGCCATTATTTTTTATCTTTTCTTCCTTCTCCTTTTTGTTTCGCGCGACCCTTCTCGGCTCCCGAACGCGACTCCGCATATGCATAGATTTCGAATCCTCCACTTTCGCATTATCCCGAACGAAAATTAAACCTTTCGGGCCTCGCTACAGTTGTGTTTACCAATTCTCATTATCGGCGCCGTAATGGTACATTGATTTCGAATTTACCATTTTTATCTCTTCCCCTGCTCTCTTGACTTCCTCCTCCTCTCTCTTCTCTTTTCTTCGCAGGTTTGAATTCTAATCATTTCCGTTTGTGAGCCTTGCACCCCTCTCCTCACTGACAGTTGCCATCGAACTCGTCTAATGGAATGAGTCACGGAATTGCCAGTGTAACCCAAACATGTGACCGTTCAAGAGAAAAAGAATCTTAAGTCCGGTTGAGACTTTTTACACGAAACTCCGTCTACTGTCCCACAGTGTAAGCTCTAAGGTGGTTAGTCCATTCAGATGCCAACTTTGGGCGCTAAGTTGCCAGTAGATGGGAACTCTTGAGCTTGACAGCTTTTTCTTCCTATTACGTCTTTTAAAACCACAAACGTCTGACTAACATATAACCTCAGATTGGTGTGAAATCACTCAGGATTCTTTTTTTGTTTCGTTTTGGTTTATTTCCTTACCGGCCCATTAAAATGTTTGTAAACAAATCCTCCATGGTCTAATATAAATAATGCATTTTACAGTTTTTACGTGACTAAGATCCTTTCTCTTAAACGGTCACAAATAAGTAAGTTGAGTAGGCATTTAAGTCTCATAAGGTTTACAACAAGAACAGTGCTTTGAGTTTTAAGTTTCGTCAAGGAATTTTTTTGGTGTTGATGATAGGTGAGTGAAATTCCAGCTTCCTTTACGAGATACATACAAATCCTGTCTTTTCCAGTTTTTCAAAATGGTCAAACGCGATTTGTAGGGCTGAAGTGTAAAATTGATCGGTTTGAGAAAATTTTTGTTTCCCTTCACTTGCGGGTGATACCACCCACTCTGCATTCGAAGCCGAATTGTTGTATCATATTCAAGCATTGTTCAGCGGTAGGGAACAAAAAGTCGTGCTCAAATCTCAAGTGCGACATTCCCGGTGGTTTATAATTCAATAGAGAAACGTGGCGGTTAGAAGTTTTAGAGCACCAGGGAGTGCTATGAAGTTGCTTTATAAAAAAGAAGCCGGCTTTAGTGCCTTCAGGCTGATTACTGAAATTTATAGACAAAACGATAGATATAAAAACAGTGGGAAAATGGGACGATCTTATTCAAGGACGGTTGCAATGGAGAAAGGAGGTAAGTAACAGACTTACTAACGGCAACCGACAAGAGATTACGGTTAGTCCACCATTTTTCGCTTGGTCTAAAAGAGCCATCCGTTTCAACCAATAGGTTAGCTTCATGCTTCCTATGTCTTTTTTGTCTATAGCTTTGTCTATAAATTCCAATAATCAGCCCACAGCTGATTGTTGAATTGTTGTTGAAGGATATTACTCGACCAAACCCTATTTTAGCAATGCTATATATCGATCACGGTGATTTATATCGATTCAGCAATCGATTTGCTGATCCCGTTGACGCGTTGGCAAGGTCCGTGTGCGGCGTGAAAAGGTTGTGGCGAAAATCCCGACTGCAACCCTTCCGCGGCAGTCAATAAAACGCGTGAAAGAATTACGAGATAACAACCCTTCACAGAAGGGTTCCCGTCGGAATCCTAATTAGAGGCCTTTATTTTTAATTCGCCCATCTTGTAAGTGCGTTCCGCCGTGTCGCGGGAAATTGACGCCGCGTTAACCTCGCCTTCGTTCGGGCGGGAGGGCGCCCAGTGACGTCAGGCGTTGCCAAAGTTCCCAGGGCAGTGTTGTCCTAAGGAAGAACGCCGTAAAAGCATTCGAATTCTTCTAGATTTCCACCAATAAAATATTAAGTTTCGATGAAAGTTATGCATTCATCTACTTTAAATTTTCAGACACATCAGATCAGATTGCGAATAAAAGCTTTAGAAAACTGTAAGAAAAATATTAACAGTTTTTCTGAAAATTCGTGGTGCACCAATGGGAATTTGGCAACGTATGCAACCTCACACGAATATTTCTAAAATGCACGAGCAAATCACACAATTCAATATTTTACAGAAATATGACAGCAGTTATATAGTCCAATATTTTTCTGGTTTTTGCTTGCAATCAGAGGGATAATTTGAAAAGTTGTTGAGCCGCATGTTGCATCTAATTATAATTATGGGTAGTAAAATTGTGTGCCAAAGATGCATAATTTTTTAACAATAAAAAAAATAAAATTGTTAAAAAAATTATGCATCTTTGGCACACGTTTTTATTATTCGTAGAGGGAAAATTCGTGATACTGCAATTAGAAACGGATACATTTGAAGCAAAAGGAATTTTAATTATGGAGGCATGAGCCCTGGCATACATATAATCTTATGGAGTTCATGGCTCATGTCAGGATGTATGTAGCTCCTTTGATTTAAATGCGTCCAAATGTCCGACAGTTCCCTTGTAAAAATTGCTTTTCGTCGAGGATATTTTCAAAATTTAAATTTACTGAGAATATCCTGCTACCCGAGAGAAAAAAATCTAGGAAGTTTTTCAGAGAATTACGTTGACTAGTTTTCCAAAGAAAAAAAAGTATGACAGGATGTTTACAAAGTTGCAAACATAGGCACACGGTTTCACACTTCGGCCATTGATATCGTTCCATGGACTCCATGGCATGGAATAATAAAACCGCAAAACTCATTCTCTCGGTTCAATCTGTACGCGAGTTCATTCCTCATTGTAAACGGTGGCGTGGCGTGATTTGCGATATATCGATTGATCTGCCATTTAAACCTGTGGAAAAGGATCGATGAACAGGGTGTTTGCAACGGACGCCTATGTAATCGATTCTGTAACATATCTTCAAATGGGGAAATATCGATAATCGATTATCCACGCCACGCTCCTGACGG